AGCCATTCTGACTCCAGAGCTGCAGAGACAGAGCCTGGGAAGCTGCAGAGCGCTTTCCCTGACCACCCCTGGCCAGGAGAGTCCTAGCTCGCCCTTCCCAGTGGGGTGTGGAGGGAGCGAGCACATAGAGTCTGCTGCTCCCAGCTAGGCCCTCACAAGATGGCCATGGGGTGCTGACAGTGACATCCCACAACCCCAGTGCCCCAGGCCAGTCTCAATTTCCCCTTTGGGGAAAAGAAGGCACAGGTCTATAGTCCCTAAGACCCCAGGATCTCCATCCCCAGGCCTGCCCCGCCTGGACCCTTGCAGCCCCACCAGGAAGTGGCCTCAGGCTACATTCCTGGCCCCCACCCCCAGCAGCTCCCAGCAGGGGCAGCTGGGCTTCCTGCAGACCCCCGGCCCTTGACGTAGTCCCTTCCCCTCTGCAGGGGCCCCCATTGTTCTCAGCCTGTCTCCCATCTGCCCACACACACGCACTTCCTGCTTCCTGCCTGAGAGGAAACAGAGATTTCTGGCCCTGCCAGGCAGATGCCTGTTTTTCCCTTCCTCTCTTTACATGTTTGAGGGTATTTTAAAAAAATAAGAGGAACAGGCAGCCGTGGGGCTGGGGTACAAGGGTCAGAGCACCTCCATGGGCTCTGAACTTGGGGCAGCCCCAAGCCCCTTTGAGAGCTGGGTACCAGCTGCACTCTCCTTCTCCGGCCCAGGGGGAGGCCCAGGCACAAACTGTCCCCCCATAACCCCCAGGCTCACCCCAGGATCCTCCATGAAATGGTCTGACCTGTGGGGGAACCAAGGCAGAGAAGCCTCTAGAGCACCAAGACCCTGGCCTCACTGGAGTCCCATGATGGCCCTGTGAGGAAGAGGAGTATGTGCAGAGTGAGGGGGACCTCATAGCTCCTAGTGCCCTGTCCCCAGGGAGCAGGCACCCACCCCCACTCCATGGGGGACATGGACACCAAGGCTTTGGGTCCCAGTCCAGCCTTGCCAGGGACAGACCACGACTTGAGTAGTCATCCTTTGGGGCCTTGACTTACTCCTCTGTCCGTGGGGTGGCACCAGGGTGGGTTCTCCTTTGCAGGGCAGGTGTGACCACCTGAGAGGCGCAGGCCAGCACAGTGCCGGAGGGCCTGCTCACTCTCCTCCCCCCAGGCCCCAGCGCCCACCTCCATCAACCTGCTGGCACCCGTTCTCAGGGGCTTCCCTTTCCTCTCCAAGATAAAGTATTTTTTCCCTTCCTTGCTAACGGCCGCCCATCCAGGGGCTGACCAGGGCTTCCATCAAGGGTGACAGGCACAGGAGCCCCATGTCCAGTGAGCCCCTCTTCCTCAGCCCCCAAGGAAGCTCAGCCAGCTGCGAGGAGCTTGAGCCCCAGAAGAGGCCAAGATGGGGATGAGGCCGGGGTGCTGAGGACCTCAGGGTGGTGCTGGTCCTGGAGGTGCAGCAGTGTCCTGTAGGCCCTGCTCCCTGTGGGCAACCTCAGGTGTCACCCCATGAGTGGGTCCTTCCCAAGAAAGGGCTTCTGTGGTACATCTCCTGACAAGGCCCTGGAACACTCCTGGGAAGGCAGCACTGTTGCCTGTGGGGGCGAGGGACCCTGAGGACGCTGGGTACTTGTCCACGGCATCCTGCATCTCCTGGGTCCACACAGCTCTGTGCCCAGAGAACATGTCCCCAGGCACCGGCAGCTTGTGTGTCCCTTGTGATGGGTCAGCCACACACAGGGACCCAGGATAGACTGCAGGGTGACAGAAGGGAGTGGGTCCTATGGGTCCCAGGACATGGTTCTCATCTTGTGGACACTCATGGTAACAACTCCAGCCGCCATCTCCCTGCAGGGCTGATGGCCAGGCCAGCAGGGGATGGCACAGTGGGGACCTCAATGCTGAGAGCTGCAGGCCTGTGGGGCTCCCATTCCTTGGGGTACAGGGTCAGCAGCATGTGAGGGGCACCAGTCTGAGTGTGTTGGGCTGGGGGGCAGGTCACTGCCTACTGCCCCCTTTGGGGAGTTCTGTGAGGCCTGTGTGTGACGGGCAGGAACACAGTGAGGCCGAGGAGGGGCAGCAGGGTCACTCAGGTGGGAAGCTAGACAGCTGGCAGGGTGGGGACAGTCACCCAAGGACTCACCGAGGCAGGACCCAGGACACACCAAAGCTGGTGACAGGCAGACATCTCCTGGGCCTGGCCTGAGCGTCAAGACAATGGCAGTGGAGGGTGGTCATGGCTGGGAGGTGGCCCTGGTGGGGAGGCCGGGGTCCCCAGATGTCCTTGGTACTCAGGATCTCTGTTCTCCATGCCCAGGGCCTCTGCTCCCCACTGCTGGCCCTGGACAGAAGGCTTTGTCCACATTTGGGGGACCCAGCAGGTACCACAGGAGCACTGCCCACTGCAGGGTCAGTTAGGGATGGGGCTGGGGTGAGGGAGGCAGCTGGAGTCCCCTGTGGGCTATGTCTCCCCATCTAGCCCCTCGCTCCCTTGGGGGCTGGCCTGGCCAGGAGCCCCATGTCAGACACCTTGTGGCACCTATGGGTGCTCTCTGGCCTCAACCCCTCCGGCCTCCCTGAGGACTGGCCACAGGGCTGGGTACATCCTCCTGGCGCCAGGTCAGTCACTTGTGGCTGGAGCAGGCCAGTGGTAGCTGACAGAGCCATCCTGTCCCTGAGGCCGGCGCAGGCCGGGGGATAAACAGGAAGCCCCTTCCCTCCATGCTCCGACTGCATCTTTCCTTCCTGCAGCCCGGCTCTCCTGCCCGCCCCAGCCTGCAGCTCCCGGCCTGGCTGCACGCCTCGCCCACCCTCTCTCTGCAGGGCCAGAAGCTCAGCAGCGAGGCCCTGAGGAGGGGCCCTGAGGGCCTGAGACCCAGGCCGAGCCCTCTGCTCCTTTGCTTCATCCTGCTACCATCGAACTCAGAGCATGAGCAGGTAGGCTGCAGCAGCATGATCGTGCAGCCCAACTGTGGGGGCACATGGGGAAACTGAGGCCCGTGTGGGGCTGGACCTGTGGCCTCCTGACCACCTCTGGCTCTGCCGTGGGTGCCAAGGGTTTGGATCAGGGCTTCTGGGGCTCCACGAGGAGCAGATCCCCACTCAGGGTCACAGAGTGGGCGGGAGTGAGTGTAGGGTGCCCTGTCGCAGCGGGGAGCACAGGCCTGGCTAGGAGGCACCCCACTCCTGCCAAAGCATCCAGCCTCCCACACCAGTTCCCCAGAGGGTGAGGAGTGGCACCCTGCAGGGGAGGCATCTCTGAGGCAGCTCCCGGGAAGTCCCCTTGGGAGCTGTCACAGAGCAGGCCCCACCCATGTGGCACCCCGCCCGGCCCCCAGATCCTACTGCCCACACACTGGCCCAGGGTGGGACTGGGCAGCAACACAGAGCGAGCCTGGTACTCTGGGTTTGAGCTACGGGGGCACAGACAGAGGGCAAAGATGGGGCACAGGTCCACCCTCAGGACATGAGACGCACCCCTGGGTTTAGAGTGCAAGAGGGGATGACCTCCCACCCACTTGGTCTTGGCCAGTCACTCCTGCTGCTGGCCAAGGAGCCCTGGGCCAGTGGAGGGGCCGGGGCTCCCGGAAGAGAAGCACAGGGGTTCTGCCTACCCTCACTGCTTCCCACCCTGGCCCTCAGTTTCCTTTTCTGTACATGAAAGAGCTAGGAGGTGGCTGCCCCCAGTACCGGCTGGTTCTTCCACCCAGAGCCCAGGCTGAAGCCCAAGTATGGGGGCTGGGGAACAGGACCAGCCGCAGGCAGAAGAGGGGACACCACCAGGTGGAGGGCACCAGAGCTGGAAGCCCTCCTGGTGGGCAGGCGGAGGCCCAGGCCCTTGAAGTGGGAGCTGCAAGGCAGAGGGGCTGCATGTGGAGATGGGGGCTCCAGCACCACCCCCAGCCTCCATCCTGCCACCCTCAAACCCTATGGCTAGCCTCACTCCTGGCCCATTGGGACAGATGAGGAAACGGAGCCCAGGAAGAGCCATGCGCCCTCGAGTGGCAAGGCCTGGCCCAGGCTTGGGTCTTTCTGGCTGAAGCCCTGTCCCTGACTGCAGCTGGGTACTCACAGCAGCCCCTTCCCCGGACCTGGGGACAGGCAGGGAACTTGCCAAGCCACTCGTGGTGTCTTCTCCTTGGCCTACGTGGTCCGGCTGGGCAGAGCCAGGCCAGGCAGGCTCAGAGCCACACAGCTGACCCCAAAGTATGGCTTGTACCCCAAGATCAGCCAGGCTGGTGTGGTCCCACTCCTGGTGCCCTTGGCCTACATCGGTCCAGGTATGTCCTTGGCATGTGCCCTCCCTGTACCCCATTGCAGCAACTGAGTCCAGGACCTGGGGGCAGAGACCACAGGAAACTTGAGGTATACCCCTCCCTATTGACCACTTCGGAGTTTCTGTGTTCCTGCCCCATAATTCTGTAGGCAGCCCTGGGTAAGGAGGGGCTGGGCATTTCTGTCCTCCAATCCTGGATGTCCCCTGGAAAGTAGGGCTGCAGATGTTCAGGGACAAGGTGCTCACAAGCTCATGTAGCTCTTTAGGGTGTCCTGCCCTCCCAACCAGGCCCTTTCCACTGGGTCCTTCCACCTGCCACCCCCTCCAATGCCCTAGTGTGTCACACACATGGGGCGGGGGGGATCTGGGGATCCTTGGGGCAATCCAGGCTCCAGGGTCCCAAAGGCAGAAGGACCTCTCTGCTGGCTATACAGATAAGGATGGCGACACTGGGAGACTCTGGGTCGTGTCCTCTGATCCCAGGGACACTGGCAGTCTGAGGCCGAGCTCCAACCTGTCTCTGGCGGCTCCAGGCCCAGACCCTGCAGTCCCAGGGGACAGCTCCCCTCCCCCGCAGCCTCACTGGCCCCTCGAACACTCGGTGGCCCCTGCCCCCCACTGCCCCTGGCCTCCTGTTTGTTCGCTGACAGACCCCGTTATCAGCAGAGAACACACACAGGAAGTCCGGCCAGGAAGGGCCCATCCCAATCCCGATTTACACGGGAGGGAGCATAAAAAGCCACCCTTCCTCGCCCGGGAGGTGCCTCCGTGTCCCAGCCGCTGCCCCACAGGCCAGATGGAGGCTGCAGGGGACAGAACAGAGCCGCCAGCCTCAGGAATGGCCCCAGGGTGGCCAGCAGGCCCAACACCCCTGCAAGGGGCAAGGTCCATGCCTGGCCCAAGGAGGTGGCGGTGGCCCAGGCCGAGCTCACATGGTAACAGGTATGCAGAGCATCCCTGCAGGGGTGGGGAGTGGGCACAAGGGTTCCCGAGTGGAGAAACAGCTGAGTACCAGTCTGAGGGGCTCCAGTCCATCCAGCTCTGGATAGGCCTGTCCTCCTTCAGGCTAAAAACTGCTACTCTGAGGAATAAGCCGTGGGCCCTTGGCCACAGACCTCTAGCAGGTAGCCTGGCACGGACTCAGCTCTCACCCGGCTGCCCACCTCCTGGCCCTCTCTCCTTCCTGGAGGACCTGAGCAGCAAAGCTCAGCCTTGCAGGTCTAACTTGACCCTCACCTCCTCTTCTGCCGTGACCTGGTATGCCCAGGACTGGGGGCTCCTCCCCTTGCCCCTGGCATGGGCAAGACTCCAGGGGACCCGAATGAGTATTAGTGGAGTACAAGCCCTAGGAGAGGAACCCCAAAGCCCCATCTCTAGCTCAGATGGGTGGAGAAGAGTCCCTACCTCCTGCTGGGCTGGCTCAGGACAGCTCAGTGAGGGGCCACATGGCCCCTCGGAAGCCTCCTGTCACCCTAACTTCGGTCTCAAAGCTTCCAAATCCCCTGTGGGGCCACCTAGACTCCTTGCCCGTCCTTTCTCTTCTGGGCAGGCTAGACGGGCCACTCTTCAGCGGGGAGGGCAGATGAGGCTGGCTCAGGTTTGGGCAGAGAGGACCAGTGTGGGTAGCCTCCCCATCATCCCCTGGCAGGCAAGAGGGGGCACTGCAGGTCACAAGTTATAGGAGGACAGCTCCAGAGGCAAGAAGAAGCAGAGTTCCAGGGACCTAGGCACCCCATTCTGATCCAGCAGTCCCTGCCACCCTCAGACCCATCTGCTGGGGGCCTCTAGGGCCCCCTGGTCTGAGGTAGTAGCTGCTGAACCGAGAGAGAGGGAGAGGTCTCCTGGAAGAGGGGACCCTCCTTCCTTCCACTCCTGCACAGTCAGGAGGCCCCAAAGCAGAGCTGGGAGCCCCTCACAGCCCTCTCATCTGCAGACCCTGCACACCCACCCTGGGCATACAGCCTCAACATCCTCTCCTCTCTGCTCCTGCTTGGGAGACCAGGGTGACATCTTATTTCTAGAGGAGAGCGGCAGTACAAGAAGCCAGATCATCCCAGGATAGGCAGGGTGGTGGGATAGCAGGGGCCCCACAACTGCATCAGGAGTCCTTCCAGCCCCAAACCCCAGGGTCACTGGGGTTCTGCCTGGCTCTGACCCCCACCCCGGCTCTGACCCTCAGCCCACAGGGCCAACGGACCATGGGTGGCCCTTTGTGCCCAGAGGAGTGGCTGCATCCGAGGTCCAGGGGATGACTGCACCCCACACTAGGTGAGTACCCAGCAACTGGAAGCAGGCTGACACGTGCTGCCTGTGGGCCTGTGACCCTGAGGACAGCCAGAGTGTGGGACCAGAGCTCGCATGCCTGGGAGCCTGAGGCTTGCTGCATGGCATGTGACAGGCCTGAACTCCTGTGTGCCTTGTCTGGCCCAGGTCATAAACTCAGAAAGGAGCCCTGAAGAGAGGCAATGACCCAAGCCCTGGCAGTGACCAGGGCAGGAACCTGTCCTCAGGGAGGAACGTGCAGCGTGGCCCTGGCTGCCTGAGTGAGGGCTGCCCCCACCTAGTTGATTAATGGTGAGGAAGGCGGCTTGGGGTCACCCTGGTACTTTCTGGGGCCCTGCTTGGGGCCACAGGCCTGCCGGGCCCCTCCGAGACTGGCTCACTGCCTGGCAACGTGACCGAGGAGACCGCTGCCTGGCCTCAGTTTCCCCATCCGCGCAATGGGGAGAAGCGACCCGCGAGCTCACGAGGTGGGGGCGGGGCTGCGGCGCGGCCACTTGCGGGGCGTGGCCGGGGGCGTGGTCTGGGCGGGGCGGGCTCGGGGCCCCAAGGCGCGGCGGCGCGGCGGCGCGTGCGCGCCCGGATCGCGCGGTGAGTGCGGAGGCAGCGGTACCCGGGGGGCGCGGGGCGCTCGCGCGTGGCCGGGGAGGCCGGGGCAGCGGGGCGAGGAGCTGGGGGCGGCCGCCCGCTCGACGCCGCCGCGCGACCGCGGGAACCCGGAGGTGAGCGCAGGGACCCCTTGCCCATCCCGGCCGCCCCGGAATGGGCCCGGAGGCCCCGCGCACTGACGCCCCTTGCTGGGACAGACCCGCGCCCGACCCCGGCCCGAGACCCCCGCGCCCCACGCGGAGCCTAGGCCTGCGCCCCGCGGCGCCGCCGCCGCCGGCCGTCCTGGGGGGCAGGCACTGCCCCCACCCCCTCGCGGGTCGCGGCCGGCGGGGCTGGGGACGGGAGCGCCCCTCACGTCGTCTGCTCGTGCACCCGCCGCCCCCGGGCCCTCTGGGTACCGACGCCCCTGCGGGGCTCGGGCCTCCTTCTGCACCCCGCTGCTCTGTAGGCTGCGGGGCGGCAGGTGGGAGGGAGGCGGCGGGCCGAGCCAGTGACACTGAGGGGCCGATTGCTTATCAGCCGCCAGCCAGCGGCAGACGCCGGTGCTCAGGAGGTTCAGAGCCTGCAGCTGCGGGGCTTCCTCTGGCCTTTGGCAAAGCATGACTTTCAAAAATCGAGTCTCCTCTGAACACAGTTCCCTTTCTAGACTGTGCCCAGCACCCTCGGGAGGTGCGTGGGGACGAGGGTGCCGGGCCTTGGCATTTGGGGACCCAGGCTCCCCAGGCTGCACCCCCTGCCCACCCTGGCTCCCAGTGCCCTCCTCTTTCCCGGTCCCAAGTTCTGCAGGACACACCCCTGCACAGAAACCTCTGCGCCCCTGCCCTGGAGGATGCAGGAAACCCACACACACTGCCTGTCCACCGGGGACCGTTAGAGGCCCGGGCCAGCTGAGGGGCCGTGGGAAGCAGGCGCCGGCTTTCCCGGGGGTCTGGCCAGCAGCCAGCGTTCCTTAAGCGCCCAGCACATCCGCATCTGTGAGCTTGGCTGACAGAGCTGCGGGAGCACCTCAGCGGCGCAAGGGCGACAGAGGGAACCGAGTCTCAGGAAGGGGTGGCCTTACCACCTGCCTTGGGGGCCCGTGCTCCCTGGTCTCCACTGCACGCGGGCCCTTCCGCAGTTTCATGGGCCTTTCTGGGCTAGAGATGTGGCATGTCGGGGGCCTGCTGCTCCACTGTGCCCAGCTGTGGCTGGAGGCTTCCCAGGCTGTTCGCACATACACTCCATCTGCGGGGATCCCTGAAATGGCCTCAGAAGACTCGCACACTATAACAGCTCCTACCCACCACCCGCAGTTCCCACAGTGCTCTCGGGCGCTGGGTCAGCATTTGGCAGAGGAGAAACCTAAAGCAAGAAGGGCCAAGATAGGGTGGCAGGACCCCAGCTGGGCTGTGTGCAAGGCAGCCTCTGCAGCCTGAGGTGGGGTGAAATGGCTGTGCCCTCATGACTTGGGGCTCTCGGTTGCCCTCAGCGCTGCAGACAGAGCCCAGCAGGTGCCTCCTGCTGCCCTGTGGAAGACCCCTGGCAAAGGGCTGAACAGGCATCAGGAAGCCAGCTTTTCTGGCCAGGGTGGGCCCTGCAGCAAACTCAAGTGTGCATGCTGTGCTCTAGGCCTCCCAGGGGAGAAGGCCACTCATCTTGGAGATGCAGGCCATGTGGGGCTCCCCACAGCTGCTGCTGCTGTGGCTGTTGGTGCTGGCAGCAGGTGGCACTGGGCACGCCTACCGGCCCAGGTGAGCCAGGGCAGCCCCAATCTGAGGGGGGGGGGGGTGTCCCCATGTCCTGGGCTGGGCGGGTCCCTGCTTCACTCCTGCCGACCTTGCCTTGCCCCCAGCCGCAGGGTGTGTGCCGCTGCTGGGGCTGCCCCGGGCTCCATCTCCGAGTCCTTTGTGCAGCGTGTATACCAGCCCTTCCTCACCACCTGCGATGGGCACCGGGCCTGCAGTACCTACCGGTGAGTGCCCCAGGCCCCCAGGCCCCACACACTGGCAGCCTGGCTGTGGCCAACCACCGCAGCCCCTTCCTGGGTGCCCTGGGCCTAGGTCTCCAGGCTGGCTGATCTGTTAGGTCATCGCCCAGCATTAACTGTTGGAGGATGTAGGGCACCCTGGTCAGAGGGCTTCCACCCTGCCTGTGTCCCCCACTTCTGAGGCACTCACTTCCCCCTTGCTAGGCATTGTGGTAAGCTCCAGGGTCTCCCAGAAACCCACCTGTCATCAAGTCCTGTCCTGGGGCTCCAGTGTGCACCCCTCTCCCCGGATCCCTGGGACCCTTACTTCTGAGCACGGGGAGCTCAGCCTCCTCTCTGCGCCCAGAAACACCTGGGACAGCTCCAAAAGGGGCAGGAGACATGGGGTAGAAACCCAGGTTTGCCAAGCTCAGTGGTGCAAGCAGTTACGCCAGCTACTGGGAGGCTGACGCAGGAGATTGCAAGGTCAAGGCCACGTGAGCCACTTAGCAAGACTTTGTCACTACATAAAAAAACTTAAAAAAAAAAGTTAAGATTGGGTCTGTGGCCTGGGAGAGAGCATTCGCCAAGCCCATGTGAAGGCCTGAGTCTTCTAAAGCAGCGCAAATAAGTGACTAAAAATTCAGATTCGTGGCTCTGCTCTCAAGGGAGAGCCTGGACCCCACAGTGAGACTGCAGTGGCTTCAGAGCAGCTTCAGCATCAGCTGCCCTGAACTCAGGACAGGAAGGAAAGGCCAGCCTAACCCCTGGGAGCCCGAGGGGTCCGGTGGCACATGGCATGGTACTGTCCCCACTCTGCCCTTGGGCACCAGGGCACCCTGTCGAGAAAGGCTGTGTCACAGACCTTGCTGTGTCCCTGGGGGAAGGAATGCAGAGAATGATCTGAGTACCCTGAAGTGGCAGGCTGGACACACATGGGGCCTCAGCATGGCATCTGAGGCCCACCTCAGGCCCCTCTGAACCACCTTGCCCCTGCAGAACCATCTACCGGACCGCCTACCGCCGTGGCCCTGGGCTGGGCCCTACCAGGCCTCGCTTTGCCTGCTGCCCCGGCTGGAAGAGGACCGGTGGGCTCCCTGGGGCCTGTGCAACAGGTGAGGGGCAGGTTTGTGGCACTTGGCATTCCCTGGCACTAAGGAGCCCAGCACCCACTGCAGCAGATCCCCTTCACCTGCTGCTGAGTGGTGACAGCCTCCCCCTTGCAGCAGTATGCCAGCCACCATGTGGGAACGGAGGGAGCTGTGTCTGGCCTGGCCGCTGCCACTGCCCTGCAGGATGGCGGGGCAACACCTGCCACACAGGTGAGGTGGCCCTGCCCTCCTGGGCCTTGGGCAGGTCCTGGGCTCGCTCTGGAGGCCCTATTGCACCTGGGCCAGTGTGGGACTCTACTTTGCGGAGGGCCATCTGCAGTGTCTGTGTCTGTGCCTGACATCCCCTTCCTGCAGACGTGGATGAATGCAGCTCCGGAGGGGCAGACTGTCCCCAGGCCTGTGTCAATACTGCAGGGAGTTACCGGTGCCAGTGCTGGGAGGGACACAGCCCATCTGCAGATGGGACGCACTGCCTGCCCACAGCAGGGCCCCCCCAGGTGGCCCCAAACGCCATGACAGGTACACTCAGTCCCCATTCCTGGTGCTGTCTGCCCTGGGCGGGAGGCGGGTGAAACATTGTGCTGTGCTATGACACAGGGGGAAAGGGCGTGGAGGGCAGTGACTGGGTGGTTGGGAAGCTCTTATCCGGGAGGACAGTAGAGGCCTCTTAGCCAAGCAAGTGGAAGTAGCTGCCCTCCCTGGCAGCCTGGCATCCAGGAGACGCCATCCCTCTGCTGGTGACGGGACATTATTACTTTTGGTACGCGCTGTGACACTTCAAACTCGTACCGTGAGTAATAATGCGCTGTCAGCAGCCCGGCAGCAAGACGCGCTGGACCTCGGTGAGGAACCCATTGGCATGCTAAGGGGTTGGCAGGGCGGGCTGATCCAGGCCCATGTGTCACATGTGCCAAGCAGATGGCTGGGCCACAGCCCCGCATCTCAACTGTGCCTACAGCTGGAACGGTGGCTGGGATGAGCCGGGTGGGGTGGGGCTCCCTGACCAGCACTGGCTCTGCCCCAGGAGTGGACCCCACGGCGAGGGCAGAGGTGCAGAGGCTGCAGACGCGGGTAGAGGCGCTGGAGCAGGTGAGGCAGGGAGGATAGCTGCAGGTGCCCGGTGGGGTTGGCGGGGAACCTGGAAAAGGCATCGCGCCAGGCATGGCTTGGGTGAAGGCTGCATGTGGAGTGGGGTGCAGGCCGAGCCACCCCTTGGGCCACATGGCCTTGCCACAGTCTCCTCCCTGGGACCTGAGCCTTTGGTAGTGCATCCAGACGCTCAGGCCTGTTGGGCTCTTGTGGTGCCACAGTGCCCCCTGGTGGCGATCAGACATTATAGCGAGCTGGTTCTCTGGGAACAGAGCTGGGGGCCTGGCTCACCTCAGCCTCCACATCCCACAGAAGCTGCAGCTGGTGCTGGCCCCTCTGCATGGCCTGGCCTCTCGGGCCCCGGAGTACGGGCCCCAGGACCCCGGCAGCCTCCTGGCCCACTCTTTGCAGCAGCTGGATCGCATCGACTCACTGAGTGAGCAGATCTCCTTCCTGGAGGAGCAGCTGGGGTCCTGTGAGTGCCCACGTCACCTTCCTGCCCTCAGAGGCCCTGGCTCCTCGAGAAGGCAGGAGGGTGGGACCTGAGAGCGGCCACAGGCCAGGTGACCCAGCCTCCCGTTCACCACCAGGCTCCTGCAAGGAGCTGTGATGACCTGTCTCGAGCCCAAGGCTGGACTGAGCCCACGAGCCTTGCATCCCTCTTGCCAGGGCCCACGCTGCTCCTCCCCGTCCCTCAGGGGACTCCCAGTGTTCCCCAGGCTTCTGATAGGCCCCTGCCAGGCTCTCCAAGGTCTGGGGGAAGGTACGAGGGTTCCCTGCCTGTGCTGGGATGTGGGGTGTGATAGGCAGCTACCCAAGGTGGGGCGGGCCTGTCCCCATCTGAATAAACTGGAGACTTGAAACTCGATCTTGGTGAATGGACTGGGCCCTGGGGAGGGAGCTGGCCCCACAGAGCATTTGGCGGGGGTGGGGGGGCTTTACCACCTCCATCGCCCTGTGTCCCTGGATCGAGGCTCGGGTAGGCCCTGCCCACTCTCTTGAGTGACCACATCACACCAGGCACTTCCAAGAGTTCGTTTATAAAAATGAACCATGTGCAGCAAGGGTGCGGCTGACTGTCCTTGAGGCTGGTGTGCGGCAGACCAGGAGTCCCGGCTTCGCATACCCAGCTCCCTACAAACCTGATACAGGCTGTGGCCTGGACCCAGAGGCCCAGAGAGCCTGGGGCGGCCACTGCAGTCGCTCCTGGGCTGCCCCAGGGCCTGCTGGCTCGTCCCCTCGATCCTGGAGGCACAGGTGTGCGGGTGGGGTCTCTACCTCCAGCAGACTCCAGAGGAGACGTTGGGGACCTCAATCTGGGGCTTCCAGCTTTGAGGCCAGAATGAGAGCCTGGAGCCAGGAGCCGATACAGTGGTATTCAGCAGTCTGGGAGTCCCCTCCAGCTAAAGTGGGGGTCCACTTTAGCTTCATGCCACCCCCTCATCCCCACTGTAGCTGGCTACTGGGCTGGCTGTACCCGGGGCCCCTCGGCCACCCCGTTCTCCTGGGGCTGTGTGGATATCTCCCGAAAGGTGGCCCTCATGGCTTGGTAGCAGGACTCCACGAGCTTGGGGACGTCAGCCACAGTAAGACCGAGGGTGGGGACAGCATCCAGAACTTGCACCTTGATTGTTCCTAGGAGAGGAAGCAGCGGTCATCACTGAGCTGCAAGGTCCCCAAGCCAATGTCCTGGCTCTCCTTTACCTGGTTACTGCAGCTGACCTTGTCTGTCACAGATGCAGAGGTGACCTGACAGAGCCCAGCTCTGTCCTCCCTGTGGCTTGGCTCCTCCTCACTGGCCCTTTGACCTTTGGTCCCTGCTTCCCACCTGGGCACAGGGGACCTTGTGCTGGCCGCAGCACGCTGCCTGGTCAGGATATGGACCATATGCTCTACGGCCAGTGGTGCTGGGGTCCTGAGTGCCCATGTGGGGGTCAGGCTCAGGCTACCTGTGTGCCCTTGACAGGCTCAGTGTCCTCACCTGGAAAAGGCCACTGTCACCACCACCAAGGGCCAGCAGGATGGTGAGATGCTGCAGCACTGGTCCTCACACTCAGTGGTCCAGTGTCTACCCAAACCCAGTGCTTCTGGGGGCCCCACAGTCACCCACGTGATCCCCGCCAGGCTCACCTGAGGTGAAGAGCTTAGTTTGGAGGTTGTAGAAGGAGGAGAAAGAGGAGTACACCACAGGGATGATGGGTACCTACAGGCAGAGACACGGGTGCCCAGGTGAGGGCGCAGACTACCTCATCACTGCCTGGGATGGTGCCAGATGTCCTCAGGGTGGACCTTCAGTCTGGGACAATACCATGCCCTGGATGGCCCAGTATTTCACATCACCCAGCTGACACCCGTCTCTGTTCCCAGCACTGGGCTGTAATATGGGCTGGGACGAAGCCCGCTCAGCTTAGCCCGAGGAGGGCCACCGCCCTGCCCACCCACCCGTCACCAGGGGGTGGGGGTGGGGCAGCTCTGGCGCTCCTGGAAGGCACGAGGGTCAAATCCTGCAGTGACAGGCGGCACCCAGGGTAATCATTAACTGCAGAGAGTTGGGGAGCCTTGGGGCACCCACAGGGGGACTGCCATTCAGCAGTCTGGAGAGGAATGGCAGGAAGTAGCAGCATCCTGGCTGCTGCTATCCCCAGAACACCCTGTGTCTCCCCTCTGGGACCTGCTGTTGGGGCCCCACCCACTGCCACTGCACCCCACAAGACCTGGGCAAGGGAGGGGTGCTGGCCAGGCCGGACTCACTTTGCCCAGGGCTGGCATGGGGTAGGGGTAGGGGGCGCGGCAGCACTAAAAACGGAAGCTGCTGAGCTGCAGCCAGCAGGCAAGACAAAGCCCTCCCCTGACTCTACAGTAGACATGTCCCAGGGTTTCTGGGTAACCTAGGCACAGTGCCCAGTCCTACCAGAGACCACAGCCCCACTCTGCATCAGAGGCGGCACACATACCATGCTGCCTGTGCCTGCACCACTCTGCAGGCCCCCATGCTGGCCCTACTGCTCCAGCCCAGTCCTCCAGGCCTGGCACTAGAGGGGCGCTCCCTGGGCCCAGGCAGTCCCCCAGGGCTCAGCAGGAGCTAGGCACCTCCTCTGCACCATCTGCCACCTTGGCCAGCTAGTAGAGGACACCAAGGGAGCTCAGGTGCCACCCTGGGCCTGACCCACAAAGGATGAATGCTGTCCTAGGCAGGCCAGTGTCTCAGGGATCCTGGGGTAGGATTCCTACCCGCCGGGGGCAGACCTTGCACACCAGCCTGGCTGGATATCACCTCCAACCCCAGCCCCTGCTATCTGGACTCTGTCCACCCCTGCTCACCCAGGGGTGCCCTCCCTACCTGGGCCTGGATGGCCAAGTAGAAGGCACCCTTCTTAAAGGGCAACAGGTCCCCGCTGTCGTTCCGTGTGCCCTCAGGGTAGATCCACACTTTGAGCTATGGAGGAGGGAGGCCGAGGTTAGAGGACCCCACTCCCTGCAGGCTCCCCGGCACCCCAGTTGCCCACCGCGACGCCACGTACTCACGTTCTCCTCAATCATGCGCTCGCCCAGGTTGGCCATCACGGACACCGCAGTGCTGGAGCGCTGGCGGTTGATGAAGAAGACGCCGCCCAGGTACATGACGAGGCCCACGGGGCCCAGGAACAGCAGCTCCCGCTTGGCGACCTGCACGCAGCGCTTGGGGAGGATTTCCATGAGGCCTGGTGGCAGGGGTGGGCACAGCGGGAGGAAGGCAGAGATACACAAAAAGGAGAGACAGGCCAGCATTAGAGCCGGTGGCAGCACCCACGGAAGCAGAGCCCCCCCCCCCCCCGCGAGCCCTGGGGCTCCCCCTGCCCCAGGTGTGGTCCATCTCCCACCTCAGAAGAGCCCAGAGCTCCCGTTACCCAGCTGGGAGACGGTTGAGGGTCTCATCACAGTTCCTGCGGGCCAAGCATACCCATCATGTCCAGAATGCTCTGGTGGTTGGAGATGATGACACAGGGACCGTCCACCTCCAGCTTCTGCCGGCCCTGGACCTTGAAGCGCAGGCCATATAAGTACTTGAAGGACCGAACAAACCAGCTGATGATGCTGTGGGGGCAGGGACCGAAAGTGAGCCTGGGGTCAGCTTGGCCCTCCCACACGACTGCCCTGCTCCTACCACCCAGCTGAGGACAGACAGGGTGGCCTGGCTCCTGCTAGTGCAAGTGACAGGGCACGTGACACCCAGAGAGGTGACTGGGCCCCCAGAGCCCGTAAGTCTCCCATGCCTGCCTAAGTCCAGATATACTGGCCTGGGCAGTGGCTGGCATGGGGCATAGGGAGGAGTGGCCTGGTGCCCCGAGGTGCCCTGGAGCGCCACAGCCGGCTGTGCCAGGAGGGGTCAGCCCCTGGGGAGACGTGGCCCAGGGCCCTGAGCCCCAAGGATAGCAGGGCTAAGGGATGCAGTGCCCAGCTGGTTCAGATTCGTCCTGCAGGCACCACCCTCTGTGTAGAGCAGGGATACAGCTGGGTCCTTTGTGCTGATAAAGACTTTTTAATTTTGGTGAAATACGCACACCCTGAAATTCGCCATGCAAACTATCTTTAAGGGCATGGCTCTGCTTTGCATTAACCACATTAATGTCAGGCGGATGTCAGCACCCTCCGCTCTGGGAACTTTCTTCCTCCTGTGGTTACACTCTGTCTCCCATGACAGACTGCCCAGCCCTGGCACCCCCCCACACCCCACTTCCTGTCTCCATGTACGTGATGACTCTGGGGCCTCATAAGAAGTCCTGCAGGCCTGGTCTTTCTGCACCTGGATGCCAGGCTCCTCACCAACTGTGCCTGTCCCAGGACCCAATGGGAAGGGCAACTGTCACTGTGAGGAAACTGAGTCCAAACAGCTTCCCCAGCTCGCAGGCATGAGGGCAGCTCCTGGATACTTGGGGAACTGGCTGGCTGCTTCACATCATGGTCCCCATTTCCTGATGGTAAAACAGTTGCTGGCATCACCATGAAGACAAGAGGAGACGAAGCAGCCATTCACAGATAGATGTTCAGGAGACTCACCCGCCATCAAAGAAATGCAAATTGAAACCAGAACAGCCCTCTGCCATCCAGCCACTGGCACAGATAGCAAGAGGGATAGCAGGTATCACCTGCATTGGGAAACAGCAGGCACTGGCTGCAGGGACGTGTCTGGAAGGCAGGTTGGCCTCAGTCCGGAGAAACCAGGGCCCTGGGAGCACTACCAGAAACCTGCCTGAGGCAGAGGAAGATGGAGGTGTCTGGCCCCATGTGACGTGGGCAGGTAGGCAAAGGGAACCGCACACAAGCTCTGCTCAGCTGTGCAGGGGACATTTGCTGTTTCTGGGGCTAGGGATGGAACCTCCCACAGGCCGGGAGGACGTTCTACAGCTCAGCTGCATCCCCAGCCCAGAATTCATGTGATTTACACAGGCCGGCCATCCTAACCTTACGCCCAAAATCCAAACCGAGACCGGGCGTAAGACGGCGGTGTGCCTGCCTCGAATGTGATGTGCTGGGCTTGGTCCAGCCAGAAAAACAATAAAGTGAAACCTTAATTTTATTTATTTATTTACTTATTTAGAGACAGGGTCTCACTATGCAGTTCAGGCTGGCCTTGAGCTCACTTTGTAGCCCAGGCTGGTCTTGAACTCACATCAATCCTCCAGCCTCAGCCTCACAAGTGCTGGGATTACAGGCATGTGCCACCACACCCGACTTAAAACCTCAAATTTTTGGATGCCGTACCCCAGGTCATCAAATGCTAATCTGGTGTAAGGGATCACAGTGAACACAGGTACACAAACATATAAAATTCCCTCCAGCTGTGTGTAAGGTGTATTAAGAAACCTACATGGATTTTGTGTTTGACTTGGATCCTGGTCCTGCAATACCCTATCCTGTACATGCAAGAATCTAGTGCAGAAATATCTGAAACCCTAAATACTTTTAGTTCCAAGCATTAAGGATAAGGACTCCCAAGCTGTATTCATAACTTCAAATTCATCTGAATCTCCACATCTAGCTGCATGGGGAGGTTTAGGCCATGTGCAGGAAGGGTCCTTGGTGCACTCTGATAGTAGCGTGTCCCTGTCCCATTGTCTCCTCTTTTTCCTGCAGTTCTGTGGCTGAAACCCATGGCCCCATTCATGCTAGGCAAGCACTCTGCCTGCGAGCTGCACACCCCAGCCACACTGTGTTCTAGTGTAGTAAAAGAGACACAACGTAAAATTGATCTTGCAGGCTGGGCTGTGAGAGGTCATGGCTAAGCTCTGCAGGGCTCCAGAGTCAGCAGACACCTGGCTTGTGTAGGCAGAGGAGCCCCAAGCAGCCATGCAACGCCAGGGCAAGCAGACTACCTCCTCCTGGCCAGGCCCCCCAGGGCCTTCACTCCTCCCACTGGAGACAGGCAGGCAGGCAGGCAGCTTCCTGCAGAGGTGACAACCCAGGGACAGTGGACCAGGGACAGTGGAGCAACGGTCAGCCTGAGCTGGGCCTCCCTGGTTCCTACAAATGTGGCCAGGACACCTGACCTCTGCCTAGACACCCCTTTCCAAGCTGGCAAGAAGATAGCACTGCCCTGTCCTTTCCCCCAGAAAAGTCAGGGCCCCAATTCTGGGGTGGGCATCCCCATGCCTTAGCCCCCGGCTCCCTACCTCCTCAGGTCGCCAGGGACAGTTGACCCCACTGTACTTCACTGCTGCAACTGCCAGGGGGAGACCAGGTCCCCTCTGGGTCCTGCTTCCTTCTTCCCAGCTGTGACCTGTGATGATCTACCTGCCTTCCCTAAGCATCTGCCACCACCTGGGGGAGGGGGAAGAGTGTGATCCCTGAAGTTGGGACGTTCAGTGGCCTGGGCACCGAGGAACCCCCATCAACATGGCTATGATGGCACCAGCAGGGAAACAGCCAGGGTACCTCAGGCTAAAAGGCCCTTGACCGGCCCAGCCCCCACTTGCAGCACCTATTCCAGGTAGCTGGGAGCCAGTTCAAGGCCAGGCCTGGGCCACTGGCCTGGCTGTCCCCAGGAAATGGGTGACCCTTGCTCTTGGCCCCTGGTCTTGGGCTGGGTGTCTCTGGGGGACACTGGGCAGCTCTTTGGGAGGAAACTCCCAGAAGGGTCTTGTCCCAGAAAAGAGCTGGGCAGGCACATCTGGGGTGCCATCCACAGCTGGAGCTCGGACAGCAAGGCCACCTGGCAGAGCAGGGTTATTTGTGATGTGTTGTGGAAATGGGGCACAGATAGGGACAGGAGCCTGGGGTCGGGACAGTGTTCCCAGCCTGAGCCACACAGAGATTGTTAGAGGAGCCAGGGATGAGGAGTGGGGCTGGAGGGACAGCCAGGGAATGAGAGCTGGGGAAGGACTCTTGGGGATCCCCCCGGGGACTCTGCTCCCCAGTGGACCCCAGCAAGACAAATCAACTATCACCCTGACTGGGTAGAGACCCTAAAAGGTGACTGGCTATGGGGCACTGTCCCCACCATGGGTCAATCCAGTGACACTGGGATGCAGAGCCCATCTGGAAGAGGTCGCTGGAATGTGACTTGGAGGATCTGTGGCCACTGATGCACTCAGTCCCCTAAATGAAGCAGCCCAGCTCTCTACCATACCCTTCCACCGTAACAGCCCTGCCTTGGAGCCATGACCATGGACTGTACCCCTCAAACAGGGAGGCAAAGACCTCTCTCCTCCTGGGTGTGGGTGTGGGTGCTGTGTCCTCAGCACAAGAAAGCTGGCTCTTACATTTTCATTTGGACCCAGAGCTCCAGGCAGATGCTCAGGGCAAGGTGAACAGGCCCAAATGCAGTCTCGACACCCCTGCACCTGTCACAGACTCAGACACGTGGCTGGCAATTCTACCCTGATGGGTCTGGGCAAGTCTCCTGGTGTGTGTGGCTGCAGCCATGTCTGTGGCCGTGGTGTCCTTGTCATGTGGATGTGAGCACAGGCAGGGGTTTCCCTGGGCACCTTCCATGGGAAAGGCCCCTTTTCTCCTGCCCTGAGAATGGAGGGAGCCCCCGGGGCAGACCTCAGTTCTGTTCTCCTTTGGTACCAAAAGCAAACCACTGGCTGCACCACTGTTACTGAGGTTCCTGATCTGTGTTTAGCCCAGTTCCAATGTGCTCAGGTTCTTGGGTTTTCTGTCCCCCATCAAATGGGTGAAATGTGGGCATCCCCCTCCTGTTACCCCACCCAGCCTGCACCCAGGCTGGCTCTATTTGGCCCTTCTGTTCCCAGCTTGTCACCCTCAAGAGCTCCAGCCCAAGTGGAGAGGCCTCCTTGGGCACCTGCTCAGAACCCTGCGGGAGGGGAAGCTGGCCAGGGCACAGAGTGGGGCCACGCCCACAGTCCCTAGCTCAGGCTGGGCAGAGGGAAAATGAAAAGATGTCCTCTAAATTCCTCTCAGAGGCTCCCCGCTCAGGCTGTGTTCTTCCCATATCCTGCTCCAGGACCTTGGGCACTTCCTCCACTCCTCCTTGCACCCCAAAGCCTCAGGTCCACACTGAGTCTCTGACCCTCAGTCTCTTCATCTGTGAGACGGAACATGGCTCCAAGGCATTGTGGTACAAGAGGACACGTTTGGCTCAGCCTGGTCCGTGAGGGCCTGAAATGGGGTTCATCCACTAAGCACCCTCTTCTCCCAAGAACCTCCTGTCTCCTGGATGCCCCCAATCTGGGCCTAACCGCCTAAGGACACTGCACCCCCCTCACCCTCTGTTCTCTGATCCCCTCTCTGCAGCCCACAGCTAGAGGCTGTGTCCAGAAAACCCACTGATCCTGCATGTCCCACTCCTGACCCCGCTGGGGGTCATGAGAGGAAGGCCGAGTGGGGCAGGCCTTTGCCACCCTCCAGCTCTTGGGGGCCCCCACAGCTGCTGACCCTCAATGCTGGAGGTGCAGGAGGGTGGAACAGAAGGGCCAGCTGCCCCTCTGAAAGCAAGCTGGTGGCCTGGATGAGGACTGGGCAGCAGCAGCCCTGGAAGACCAGCTCATCTCCCAAGTCCAGTCCGGTCCCTGACTGCGCCCCACACCCCTGCTGGCCCTTGCCTGCCCACCTACCCTCTCCACAGAGTACACCTGATCACAGGGCTCTGATCACTGGACCCTGCACCCCTCCTCCGGCTCCTCCAAACCTTTCCTCCCCAACTTGCAGGAGGAGGGTTCCCATTTAGTGGCAGGCCAGACTCTGGAGACTCCAGTGCAACTTCACAGAGGGCCTGAACCCCCACTTCCACCCAGAAGGGTCTCCAGCTGGCTGTCCCTGAGGTCAGTCCCCTTGGAGTCTGGCCTGAACCATTCAAACACTACCTCTCCTTGTCCCTGGGCTCCTCGAGCTCATGGGAACCCACAAACCCCTAAAACGGAGCCTGGGATTCACTAAATACCTTGAGGCTGGCAAAGGCAGAGATGGTGGAAAGTCTACCCTCTGACACGGATAAGGCCTTAGTGACCACAGTATCCCCTATTGCGAGAGCCATCAGCGAGCCGTCCAAGTTGGACAGAGAAGAGCTGCCGGCCGTCCCGGGGTGGGGTGGCCACGGGGTAGGGGCAGTGGCCAAGGACCTGGCAGCTGCTCCTCCGTCGGTCCCCAGCAGAGAGCGCCTCTCTCGGGGCCCCAGGAGGAAGGGGAGGTCGAGGCATCTGCGCCGCATCTGGGCTCTGACACACTGTCACCTGCAGGGGGCGGGAGCGCACCACACCCCGCGCCCGCGCGCGGCGGCCCAGACTTTCCGTCGCGGGGACCCGGCCGGGACGGGAGGGCAGGCGGGCGGGGGACATTGTGACGCCCCGCCGGCGCCGCACAGGAAGCGGAAGCTCTCACCTCATGTTCTCCACGGTGCGGCCGCCGTGGCGCAGGATGCAGACCCCCGAGGCCACAACCGAGATGCCCAGGCACAGCACGCAGTAGAGGCAGAGCTTGGCGTAGCAGCGCGCCGTGCGGGACAGTGGCACGGCCAGCACGAGCAGCAGCAGGGCCGCGCTCACCAAGGGCCACAGCTCCATGGCCGCGCCCGACGGCCGACCGCGTCCGCGCCCGCGCTTAAGGAGCCGAGGGCGGGACACGCCCACTCTGGCCACGCCCGCCAGGAACCACGCCCCTGGCCACGCCCACCCACTCCCTGCCCTAGCGGGCTCCGGGCCGCGCCCTCCTCCCGCCCTCGCGGTGTCTACTCCACTGGGCCCGGCCCAGAGCCGAGCGGACAGCCCAAGGACGTGACTGTCCGGTTGCCGCACAAAGGGGCCCTTGAGTCGCTCCCCACGGCCACTGGTTACCTGGCAGACGCCTGGCCCTAGGGTCCTAGGAGGGGAGTCTGAGCTGAGCGCGTGCCCTGGGCCAGCCTTCAGTGCCCGCGCTGGGGGAGGTTATGGGCTGGTGGGACTGGGAAGTCCTGGGGCACCGGAGCACCTACGGCACCTCTGGCGCTCTTGGTACCCGGCCAGTGGTGGCTGTCAGGTGATCGCCCACCAGCTTGGCCCAGCGAACTGGCCAGCCTGACAGGCTACCGCGCTGTTGCTGGTCCCCACAGGGGCGAAGGCCTTTGTCACTCAGCAGGAGGGACTGTTGGTCGAGTGCTTGGAGGGCTGATCCAGGTACAGGCCATGCTCTGGGGGTGTTCCGGATTTGTCCCTGGAGCACCCAGGTGACGCTGAGCTGATGGTGACCTCTGTCCTCAGGTGCGCTCTTGTGCACAAGCTGCAAGCGCGCTTTGCAGGCGGGGAGCCCCCCCACGAGGGGCGGGGCTTCCCGCAGGCTCAGCCGTGAAAGGGGTTCTTTCTCAGGAAAGGGGACTCCCGCGCCATTTGCGTCGCCCCGGGCACGTCACAGCAGAACCCCCCACAGCCTTGCAGGCTCGCCTTTCCCAAGCTGTTCGGCCTGGTCAGTGTCCTGCACCTTCTCTCTCACCTCCACAGGCCGCTGGCCTCCTCGGGGGTGAGGGCCCCAGGCTGGCTCGCTGTCACCACTGTGCCCTGGGGTCTGAGTGGGTCTCAGCTCCAGGAAAGATGACAGTGCCCCCAAGAGAGAGTGTGAGGCGCAAGTGTGCCTCCCGCAGCCGCTGGAGCTGCCAGGACTGAGGATTTGGGACAGTCTCCCACACCCCATGGTTCCCCATCTCTAGGCCCAGCAGCAAGCCCTACCCAGGAGCTTTCTGTAACAGCTTGCTAGCTCATCCTTCCTTCCTTCCTTCCTTCCTTCCTTCCTTCCTTCCTTCCTTCTCTCCCCACCTCCTGCTTGCCTGCCTTCTACACAGGGGATTAAATGCAGGACCTTCCCTATATCCCCAGCCCTTTTAAAATTTTGAGACAGTCTCACTAAGTCATTAAACTACCCGAGCTGGGCACAAACCTTTGGTCCTCCCCCTCAGCCTCCCAGTGTGTGTGGGGCACTATCACAAAATAAAAAAATAAATAAATAAATAAAAGCTGAGGATGGAAAGGCCCTGGGTTCAATCCCCAGTGCCGCAAATAAATAACTCACTCTGCACATCCAAATGCACCCCCATTTCACAGATGGAAAACTGAGGCTCTCAGAAGTGAGGCCTAGGAAAGAGGGAGGAGCTGACCCTGGTGTCTCCACTCCCCTGGAGAGATGGTCAGTTCTAGGTCAGGAGCCCTCAGGACCAGATGAGTCTGCCCAGCCCTGGTCTCCCCACCCTTTTTGGCTGTTGGCTTAGGAAGTGTTGAAAGAACGGGCGGGAGGGAGAGGAGGGCAGGAGGAGGCTAGGAACTCAGCCAGGGAGGCTGCATTACCTTAGTGCCACCTTTGGGAGGCTACTTTCTGCCTCAGGCAGGCCCAGAGAGCGCTGGGGTGGGCAATGACCCCAAGAAGAGACTTTCTCTAAGATGAGTGCTTCCCACTTGCAAGAGTGATGGCTCTCCTGTGGGTCCTGGGGTGTCCACTGGGTTGAGGGGGGCTGAAACCGAGACCGCAGCAGCCCTCTCACCTCCAACCCCCAGCTGGGGGTTCCTGCAGCAGTGCCCAGCGGTACACTCCCTGCCAGCCTGAGGACAGAGGAGAGCACCCCTGGGCATTCCCTGGGGCCCCGCCAGGCAGCACATGACACCATATGACACTATCAAACTGAGTTGGCACAGCCCAGGAGGCTCACGGGAGCCCCAGCTGGGAGGGGAGAAGAAACTGGGAATGGGGACACTGGTGAGAGAGGGCGGGGCCCGCCTGGGATCCCTGTGCCCCTTCTGGGCCGGTTCTGTGGTGCCCAAGATGCACAGTGAAGCCACTGCGTGCCCGTGAGGGTGGGCGGGCACCAGCTTTGAAGTCAGGTCCAGCTGGCTTCAGACTCTAGTCTGGCTGTAGGCTCCACTCTAAAGTTTGGACTCGGCCCCCTGGCAGGGTGTTTCCAGGGAATGAGGCCCTGTGCTCCCAGAGGAGGGGGTGGGGTGAGGGCTGGGAGGGGACCCTGAATGCTACCTGCTGGCAAACTCCAGAGAAAGGAGGGAGGCTGGGCAGAGGAGGCCAGAGGGCAGCAGTGCCCAAGCTTGGAGCTCTGGCCCTGTCCAGTGCAGCCCCTGACGCTGTCCCTGTCACCTCTTCAGAAAGCAACCTTGAATCTTTCATGGGTTGGTGCTTAAAAATAGATGAGCTGCCACCCGGGGCAGATCCCCAGGCCTGGCTGCAGTGTCGGAACAGACTCCCAGGGGAGCTAAGCCCAGGGCTGGTGGCTGTGAGGGCTTTGTAGGGAGGCTGGGGCATGGCCAGAGAACACCCTACAGGGATGTGGAGGAAGGGGTGTGGGCTGCTGGACAAGAGAGGCACACAGAACAATCATCGGGGAGTAGGGCCTTCCCGGAAGAGTTGTGTCCCTGCAGCCTGCCTGCCAAAGGGACACCAGTGTGGCTGCATCTGAAGGGCAAGGAGCACCTGGGTGACCTTGGGCCGGGTGCCTCTGCAGGCCTTGGTTTCCAATCTTGCAAAGGGGCCAATGACAGGGTGGCTACACTCTGATGACCCCCTGAGGAATGGCTTCAGGGCCTCGGGGCCCAGCAGAGCACATTCCAGGCCTTGGGCCACCTGACCCCTGGCCCAGCTGGCTTTCCCAGACTGTCAGCTGCCCTGGCTGCTGCCCAGGGATGGAAACCCGGCTTCCCAGATGGTGACAGGCCGCCGAGACTTGCCCCACGGGCGTGCCAGGCCTACCACTCAACCAGGGGGCACGCTGTAGTCTCAGTGGCCAGATCCCCCTCTGCCAGGAGAGCAGCTCCATCCCTGCACTCCCAGGGCCATCCCATCCTCACACTGTGCTGAGCCAGGGGAAGGCAGAGAATTCCAATGAGGCCAGAGGCCAGGGTCCTGCCTGCCACCACGGGCCAGCAGCCTTGAGCTGGCACTTCCCTGTCGGCCACTATCCCCTCAGTCCTGAAGGACAGCCCTGGAGGACGGCTGCCATCTCTCTGGAGGTGTCACTGTGGCCCTGCCAGGGCACCCGCCACCTCCTTCAGACCTGGAGCTGCACTCCTGGGTGGCCCCAGGTGGCCCACACTGGCCTTCCAGGGAGTCCATCGAGAACCAGAGGGACTGTGTGTCCTTGGCCAAGGGCCCCAAGCCACCTGTGTCAGGGGAGGAGTCCTCAGAGGCCCTGGGCAGGGGTAGGTGGCTTCCCATCCACCCCTGGATCCCACAGCCCTATATTCCTGGTACTGCTCCACCTCTGGGAATATTGGGGCCATGGGACCCAGGGTTACAGGTGGACTCAAGGCCATGGGGGAGGTACCAGTGCCATCAGCGTGGAGTGCTAGACAGAGTGTCCCCCTCCTGATTCCTTCTTTGTCCCACATAGATGCTGTTCCAGCCAGGAGGTGCCTGACCTTGCTCTTACCTCTGTCCTGTTTCTTGGCCTCTGCCCTGTTTGTTGCTCCCTCAGACAAGGCAGCAGTTTGTACCAGTAGGTGCTGGAGGGAAGGAAACAGGACAGCCCCTGCCTTGAATCCCAGGCTGTCACATTCCAGGTGGGTTTGTGACTTCACTGTAACTGAGGACTCTCAAAAGGAGCCCCCCACAGCCGTGGCTGTGGAACCCAGGCCCCTGGGCAAAGAGTGACAGGAGCTGCACAGAGCCACGTGGCCTGTGGAGTATGAGGGAAGCCCCACCTTTGACCGTGAGTGGACTCACTCCTTGGCCTTTGATCTTTGTCACATTTCTACCCCACACAAATCTCAATCAAGGAGTCCGAGCGGGCCAGTGGGCCAAGCCTCGTACCTCAAGTGAGCCAGAGGCAAGGTTCAGGAGCCTTGCCTGGGTTCCGCCCCACTGGAAGATGTACCTGAGTCACAGTAGGGCAGATGTGGCCTGATGACCCACCCCAAGCTTCTCCCCATGGCTGTGCAGGGGGTGGAATGGGGCTGAGTCAGACAGGCGTGGTCCCGGTCTGGGCTGACGGGGCTCCTGGGCAGCCTTTGGAACCTGGGTGCTTTAAGCCACTGCTGCTGTCAGAGGTTCAAATCTAATGGGAGCCCTCACCTCCAGCTGCCTGCCCTGAGCACTCCAGTCTCTGCCCGCCAGGCGCTGGCCACACCGCCACCCTGTGGACAGATCCCGAGCAGCAGGCTTGGGTCTGGCCACCCTCTGCCCTGCACCCACTGGCTGTAAATTTGGTTTACACTGGACCTCAGACAGGGGAGCGCCACACGGCCCGGGTTGGGTGGCCCTCGGGGTCTGCTCTGGGGACAGGGAGCCGCAGCGGGAATCAGGCCCCACTCCCTCTGCTCCTTGCTGTCTGCACCCCATCCCAGCATCACAGGATCCAGGCATAGGGCTTCAGCAGCGGGGTAGGGGACCCTTTCCCTAAAACCCTGGAGAAGTCTGCTCCATGCCTGATTGGCTGTAAGACAGGCAGCATTCAGTCTAAAAGGGCCACTTCTTCCCTTTTGGCGTCCATGTATACTTATGTTTGATATCAGGGAAGCCACGACCTGCCCATGCCAGGCCAGTGTGGCACCCATTACTTAATTTGTTATTTTGAGGGGCTGGGGATTTAGCTCAGCGGCATAAGTTTCTCCCTTGCAAGCAGGCAGTCGTGAGTTCGATC